CGTCTTCATTAGCCCACATGGTGCAGAAAAGTAGGACGTAAAACTCCATTCATTTCATTTCATTTGTAATCTGACCACAAATGCCACCCCATACCATAACACCTCCACCTCTATACGGCTGAACTTCTCGGATGCAGTTTGGAACTAATATGTTCGAAAATCTGCGTTGTGATTGAGGTCATGTTAATTTGGGCGAATGTTTTCTGCAAGGGTTCAAACCTGTACAAGCTTTTTGCCTTTTTTTTATACGCCCAACATAAGATGGGTGTATATTGTAATCGCCCTGTCCGTCCGTTCGTCGGTCCGTTCACATTTGGTTCGTGCTCACTCTACAGGCTACAATTCTTTACAGATTCTTTTGATTTTGATTTTGTGTGTCAATGTCATTATAAAGATGATCCCTATCGATTTTCGTGATGATCGGATAATTTTTCACCGAAATATCGTGCCTGACTTGACGTTTTACTCTATTAGCTATATTTAGATAAACAGTTGTCCTTGACTTGACTGTCCTTGACTTGACTTGACCTTGATGTATTTGGGGTTATTAATATTGATTTCGAAAATGTTGTGAAAAACTCAGCATAAATAACTGACAGTAAATATATATATATCTATATATGAATAAATTCACACTATTAATACATTATGAAGATCTTTGAAATGAGAAAATTCATATTTTGGCTATTTTTAAGACTCAATTATCATTGCCTGTGGGCGTATGTTACATTGCCTGGCAAGCTATCTTTACAACTATTTTTATAGTGAAAAATTTCTTTTGCCCTTATATTTCTTATTATAGAAATAATATTCATATTTATAGGCTCATTTTATAGAAATAATTTTCATGTTTATAGGTTCGTCTTATAGAAAAAATATTCATGTTTATAGGCTCATATTATAGAAAATAATATTCATGTTTATAGGCTCATATTATAGAAAATAATATTCATGTTTATAGGCTCATATTATAGAAAATAATATTCATGTTTATAGGCTCATATTATAGAAAATAATATTCATGTTTATAGGTTCGTCTTATAGAAAATAATATTCATGTTTATAGGCTCATATTATAGAAAATAATATTCATGTTTATAGGCTCATATTATAGAAAATAATATTCATGTTTATAGGTTCGTCTTATAGAAAATAATATTCATGTTTATAGGCTCATATTATAGAAAATAATATTCATGTTCATATTATAGAAAATAATATTCATGTTTATAGGCTCATTTTAAAGAAATAATTTTCATATTTATAGGTTCGTCTTATAGAATTAATTTTCATATTTATAGGCTCGTATTATAGAAATAATATTCATGTTTATAGGCTCGTATTATAGAAATAATTTTCATGTTTATAGGCTCATATTATAGAAAATAATATTCATGTTTATAGGCTCATTTTATAGAAATAATTTTCATGTTTATAGGTTCGTCTTATAGAAAATAATATTCATGTTTATAGGCTCATATTATAGAAAATAATATTCATGTTTATAGGCTCATATTATAGAAAATAATATTCATGTTTATAGGTTCATCTTATAGAAAATAATATTCATGTTTATAGGCTCATATTATAGAAAATAATATTCATGTTCATATTATAGAAAATAATATTCATGTTTATAGGCTCATATTATAGAAAATAATATTCATGTTTATAGGCTCATATTATAGAAAATAATATTCATGTTTATAGGTTCGTCTTATAGAAAATAATATTCATGTTTATAGGCTCATATTATAGAAAATAATATTCATGTTCATATTATAGAAAATAATATTCATGTTTATAGGCTCATTTTAAAGAAATAATTTTCATATTTATAGGTTCGTCTTATAGAATTAATTTTCATATTTATAGGCTCGTATTATAGAAATAATATTCATGTTTATAGGCTCGTATTATAGAAATAATTTTCATGTTTATAGGCTCATATTATAGAAAATAATATTCATGTTTATAGGCTCATATTATAGAAAATAATATTCAATTTTATAGGCTCATATTATAGAAAATAATATTCATGTTTATAGGCTCATATTATACAAAATAATATTCAATTTTATAGGTTCGTCTTATAGAAACAATATGCATGTTTATAGGTTCGTTTTATAGAAATAATATTCATGTTTATAGGCTCATATTATAGAAAATAATATTCATGTTTATAGGCTCATATTATAGAAAATAATATTCATGTTTATAGGCTCATATTATAGATAATAATATTCAATTTTATAGGTTCGTCTTATAGAAAAAATATTCATGTTTATAGGCTCATATTATAGAAAATAATATTCATGTTTATAGTCTCATATTATAGAAAATAATATTCATGTTTATAGGCTCATTTTATAGAAAATAATATTCAATTTTATAGGTTCATCTTATAGAAAATAATATTCATGTTTATAGGCTCATATTATAGAAAATAATATTCATGTTTATAGGCTCATATTATAGAAAATAATATTCATGTTTATAGGCTCATATTATAGAAAATAATATTCAATTTTATAGGTTCGTCTTATAGAAACAATATGCATGTTTATAGGTTCGTCTTATAGAAAATAATATTCATGTTTATAGGTTCGTTTTATAGAAATAATATTCATGTTTATAGGCTCATATTATAGAAAATAATATTCATGTTTATAGGTTCGTCTTATAGAAAATAATATTCATGTTTATAGGTTCGTTTTATAGAAATAATATTCATGTTTATAGGCTCATTTTATAGAAAATAATATTCAATTTTATAGGTTCGTCTTATAGAAACAATATGCATGTTTATAGGTTCATCTTATAGAAAAATTATTCACGCTTATAGGTTCGTTTTATGGAAATAATATTCATGTTTATAATGTTTTTATATAAAAATAATGATCACGTTTATTGGCTCATCTCATAAAGATAGCTTGCCAGGCAAGGTAACATACGCCCACTGGCAGCTGTCAGAAATGATAAAACAGTCTTTAGTGACTAAAGTATGAATTTTCTCATATTAAAGAAATTTAATATTAATAGCAATAACTCAAATACATCAAATTATCGCATCAATTTACATGATCACACCATGTTTCATTAAAATCAATTGAAAACTGTAGTCTCTAATGTGTTCACAAATAAATTTTCACGCGTTTTCCTAAGTCAAGAGTATTACTCAAAAACCGTTCATCGAAAGATCGTCAAATTCGAACTTGACCAAGATCTCACCAATATTAATGATCACACCTAATTTCATTAAAATCAGTTGAAAACTGTAGTCTCTATTGTGTTCACAAACAAATTTTGACGCGTTTTTTCTAAGTCAAGGGCAATAACTCAAAAACTGTTCACCGAAAGAACGTTAAATTCGAACTTGACCAAGATCTCATCAATATAAATGATCACACCAAATTTCATTAAAATCAGTTGAAAACTGTAGTTTCTATTGTGTTCACAAACAAATTTTGACGCGTTTTTCCTAAGTCAAGGGCAATAACTCAAAAACCGTTCACCGAAAGAACGTTAAATTCGAACTTGACCAAGATCTCAATATAAATGATCACACCAAATTTCATTAAAATCAGTTGGAAACTGTAGTCTCTATTGTGTTCACAAGAAATGTTGACGGATCGACGGACCAACGGACAGGAGCGACGGCAATATACGTCCACATTTCCATGTGGGCATATAAAAATGATAATCACGTTTATAGGCTCGTATTATAGAAATAATAATCACGTTTATAGGTTCGTCTTATAGAAATAATATTCATGTTTATAGGCTCGTATTATAGAAATAATAATCACGTTTATAGGTTCGTCTTATAGAAAAAATATTCATGTTTATAGATTCATCTTTTAGAAATAATATTCACGTTTATAGTCTCATCTAATATAAATACTTTTCACGTTTATAGGCTCGTCTTATAAAAATAATAATCACGTAGCCTATATAGGCTCATTTGATAGAAATATTCACGTTTATAGGTTCGTCTTATAGAAACAATATTCAGGTATAATTTAAGACGTTTTTGGAATGCCGATAATTATTTTTTTTTTCAAAAAAGCAGAATATCCCTTTAATAGACCCTTTATCATGAGGTCAAATTTCTGAATCCTAGTTAATTTTTCCACATAATTTGAAAGATATCACTGATTGATATTCATAAATTGGAAAATATTGCACAGGTCGACCTTGCAACTGACAGAAACTTAAAATTCTGACTCACTGATAATTTAGCAGTTGAAATGAAAAATGCAATCACTCACTAATAATTTACCTGTCCCCATGAATAATACTATGACACTCTCTGATAATAAAGTAGTTTTTTAGAATAGAGCAATGGCGGATAATTCAGTGGTTCTCCTGAATAATGCAATGACCATCAATAATAATATTATGAAGAATAAATTCATAAAAAACACTAATTTTATGATCATTATAATTATTAAGTATATGACTATGTAAACAGGATTTAAACAGAATAACAAGTGTAAAATAGTAAATGATTAAACATACAATAAAAAAAAACACATCACTAAGACAAATATATATGACTAATGTATAAGAGATGTACACTGTCTTTAAAATAAAGAACTTTTTAATTTTAAAGATACTGATTTTTGCATAACATCATCCAAATTTGCATGAAGGTCTAATCACATAATATCATGAAAGTTATCATCAAGTTAGAAATTTCAGATAAAACATTACTACTTTTCAGGTCCTATTACATAAAGATTGTATTACTTCCTTAGTCGTCCAACAATTTTTGACTATTTTTCATGTTATAAGATATTTAGTTGTTGGAACTAATGATTTGGTTTTAATACAAGTCCATAACCATTTATCAATGACTGTTTTTCCTTTAACACTTGCATTGATCTAAAAAAATATAGTAAATAATGAATTTTGCCATAGAACAACTGTTAAAAAAAAAGAAAAACATGGTAATAAACAAAATGTATATATCATAATTGTTTGGATATTGAAATTATGACATTGTAAATTATAGCAAATTGTTTCTAATGGGGGACAGGTATATATTCATTTAACCAATTGCACCTTAGTTTCAGAAATGAGAATTTTTTTAGCTAATATTTCCAAAATCATGTGTGTCCAGAATTATCTGCATTTTAGAGTGACCACTCATCTTTTCTTGAGACTATGTCATATATAGAAAAAGTCAAATAGAAATAAAGTGAATTCGGGAGAGGGGTAATATAGGCAAAGCCTGTTCCCCAATACTTTTCTTTTTGAATAAAATATTGTTTACAAAAAAAAAAAAATAAAGTGAATTCCTAAGTTGAGATATTCGTGAAGAAATTATGCAATTTTCGTACATTTCTACTACTCTACTCATGAAGACTTAAGTATATTCAAGACCTAAACCAACCCCCAAAAATGGTGAACCTGTCTGAAACTGCTAAGGTGGATGCTATGAAATTGTTTTAATTCCCATAATTGTTAATATTTGAATAAAAGTATCAAAATTCACAGTAGTACAGCATATTATTTTGTGGGGACATATTAAACAAATGTAGGCTTACAGTCTTACTACAAAAAATAATCAAGCTTATTCAAAGGGAATATAATCCATGACAATGATGGGAGTAAACAATTTCATTATAATCTGAGTATGTGAAAGACAATTACTTACTGAATTTCCATAAGTTGATATCAAATGTGTGGCTGTATTTTTGTCAAATTCAGCTACAATATCTCCATTAAAGGCAATAACATAACGTTTTAATACTTTATATTTATCTATATTGTTAGGCAGATAGATTTTACATCCAGTAAAAATATCTGGTAATTTCTGAAATAAATATGAGGTTTACAGCTTTTCATAAAGGGAAGTGACTAGTATTCTTAAAATAAAATAGAATATAGGACAACAATTTTCTCACAACAGTAACTGTGCAACAGATCATACAAAAACCAATATCGATAACATTACCGGTTTCTACTGTTCAACTATTGAACAAATCAAGACATTTCTTTACAGCTGCATAATATTAATTGATTCATTTCCTAACTAACTGTACTGATGTCAATTCTGTTCTGTTCATTAATAACCAGGGACTACTCTATGCGTCTCTTTTAAGGGGCATTCCGCTTTTTTGTTTCATTATCATATAAGAACAGAGAGTAATAATCGTTAATTAAGCAGTTTGACCAGTTTTGGTCTTTGACTTTATAATATCTCGATATTATTAGTTGAAACCTTTAGAATACGTAGGAGACATATTTCTCTTCAATTAGGCAGTTAATTTACTTGAATCCATGCAGTAGTTTTGCAACAGCTTTCAAAGTTATCTTGCCAGGCAATGTAAACATATGCCCACTACAAGCTGTCATAAATGATAAAATCTTTCATGGCTTAATAATGAATTTTCAAATTATCTTAAAAATATAAGTCAAGGCAAACCTCAAAAACAGTTCATCAAATTGTCATCAAATTGAACGTGTTTTAAGGAAGTCAAGGGCAATAACCCCAAAACCGTTCATCCGATTCTTACCAATAACATACTTGACTGAGATCTTATTAATGTATACATACATGCGTACCAAGTTTCATCAAAACTGTAATCTATATCAAGCAAAATTTGACGTGTTTTTACTAAGTTGAGGGCAATAACTCTGAAACCGTTCATCTCATCAATATAGCCTCTACCGTGCCTACAAGAAATGTAAACGGTTAGACGGAATGACCGACAGATATATAAAAAGCATTGTTTACGCAAACTTTTTGAATATTTTGGCGATAAAAAATTAAAAAACAAACAAAACATGTGCCTTTTATCATAGTTTGCCAATTATTTGGTGATAAAGTATGCCCCCAGCATAAGAAAGAATTTGGGTGAAAAGATATTAAAAGAGATAAATTGGGAAAGTCTCGAATTATTAACTAAAAAAAAAAATTAAGATTATGACCTTGTATTAATAATATTGTCTTTTGGTTTGGGCTCATTTACCTGAGGGCTGATTCAAATTTGAGCTTATTTTCTTTCCTGTTTGGGCTACTGATTGAGAAAAACAATACCAGAAGAAGATGCTTATTAACATATTGCATATCATCACTTTATCAACAGTGTTCAGTGACTCAACTATAATAAGGATAGGTTCATAAGGAGTGATTTTCCCAATTTGTTAATTTCCAGGGGGAGGGAAGCCCCAACACACTTAGGTCCACAGACCCCACTCATCTAGATGAGCCCCTGATAGTCTTTATAATGAAGGGTTTCCAAATTTAGTTGAAAGAAATTGTACTTGATCCATCATACTTGATTTATTATAGTATATAGTCAAATAAGAACTCTACAGGATTTGATAATCCATTAGAAAATATCTGAATATCTCCCAATTTACATTGTCTGACAACTAAGGTTTATAAGGGAAACTGCCCTGTAGAAACATTAATAAACCTTTGTAGTTCGAGTTCGATTTAAGATTGCAAAAAAATTCACAAATAACTTGCAAATTCACAGCTTTACATGGAGGCATAATTAAATAAAAAAATAAATAAATTAACAGAAAGAAAGCACAGTGTGACAAATCAATTACACAAAAATTGAATTTTGGTCATATGGAAGCAGGTCTAAAAATAATACAATATTCATCTCTCTATTGATACATGTAATCAACAGAATAAATTCAATTATATTAACATATTCATAATCTACCATAGTTCAATAAGTATAAATTAAACTATAAATATTTTAACCCGAAGCCATGATATTTTTATTTTCATGTATGAACTATTAAGTTTTTACATCCTATAGGATATAGGATATAACTTACATTGGAAGAAGATTTGACAGGAGTGGCTGCCTTGTGGTCAAAGTTTTTTTTGTGAGCTGGGCTTGTCTGGTAGCAGTTTTCTCCATATTTACATGATGGCTTCATCTACAATAGAGCATACAAACTTATATTTAGTCATGATAGTATTTAAGCAGAATTATTGGTTAACAGAAATCCAAAACTTTGATTGAGTCAATGTTATATCAGCTCTATAATGATTTTGCACACCATTCCAATTTTCATTCACGGGTATTAGGCGCTCTTGCAATTCCACATAATCACTATCACTATGTAAATGATATCTAAAATGCTTAGTTTTCATAGAAATGCGAAAACTATCAGTTCTGAAGCTGAAAATTATTCTATGCCTCCTCTTAAAGGGACAGGTGAGCCATTTTTTTGTTTGGACCAATCATACTTCAGCCAAGCCAATCAGTAACAGTGTTAACAGCTCACTGTCAAAATTTAAGACTTCAAATACATGTGTGACTGGAATTATTTGCGTTTGAGAGTTAAAATTATGACTCTGGATACTCTGTGATATATTCAAGACTAAAATCAAACCCCAATTATAACGCACCTGTTCCTTTAAATCAGAAAACAAAACAACCTTTAAATTCTTCAAAATTAAAGATTTGCACCATGTAATTCTCAGCTTTCAGGAACCCAAGATGCCAACTTGAATTTTTAAGTATGGCCCTGGTTCTTTTCTGATAAATAACAAACCTTTTTTAAAGGAGAAGATGAAGGGGTTAAGGATTCAGCTTTACGTTTAACAGGTGACACTGTAGGGGTAGTTTGAGATGTGGCAGATATAAAACTCGAGTTAGAGTCCTCCTCATCCTCTATTTTAATAGAAGTATCATGACCAGCACCATTATTATTACTAGCATTCTGCTTCATCAGTTTACCAGTACCACCTATATCTGTCCGCTCTTTAGATTTTTCATACAATTTCTGAAATGAATGAACTGATATTGTGTCCAAAGAATTCAAATTTAAATTAAGATCCACTAAAATATCAACCATGGTATTTCCAGTGAGTCAAGGCAGGATTTCTGTCACTCTGTGACTAAGATTGTCAGCATTCCTCTCATTATTGAAAGTGGTATAATTCTATAACGTTAACTTCCAGAGCAACATCCACTCATCAAAATAAAAATAATGTTCCAAAATATCACTAAGACTACCTTTAATCTAGATAAATCTGTAGCAGTCTCCCAATTCTTGTCATCGCGGATTTTCTGTACTCTTGGAAAGCGGATGGAGATGCCATCAGCAGTATGGATCTCAGCTTTACTAAATTCAGCTCCGATGATTTCCCACACTGGAGCATTTTTGGGATCAGCCACAACAAAATCAGGGACAACAGTTTTCTTGATGTTGAGCCATCCTGGTACCTTTGTGACATCTTTACTGATTTTCACCATATCAAGTTCGGTCTGAAGTCGGTCTAATGTTTTATCGTCAAGACCATTTCCTATTTTGGTAACTGTACACCATTTTTTGGTCATCTGATCGTAAACACCCAATAAAAATATGGACATCAAACCACCTAGAAGTTACATTACATCAGGGGATTTATTCTCCATAACTTAACTAAAGCTTATCACAATTGGTTTCCAAAATGAAATTAGCATACCTTTGATGAAAAGCAGTGTGTGATAAGGGCAATTTGGCAAGGACAACTGCATTAGATTTCTAATTGTTCTTGCCAGTACAAAAGGGCTAAATATTGCACATTCTGGTACAAAAGTACAAAACACAAACAATTTGAAATGAATTATTTCGAACTATTCAGAATTTAAATAAACCTTGTACCTTTGTTGCCTGTACCATAGTAGGCTCCCAACACAACAAGATCTGCTGAATCAGCCATACTGCCCTCGTGTAGATAGTCTTTTTTAACTTTTAACCAATGTCTTTTACCTGGTTCATACAAACCCTAAAAATCAAATATACACAGTTGAATCCCATTATACGGAATTGAAAAAAAAAAAAAAAAAATATGCACAATCTGAATACAAATATACATAATCTGAATACAAAAACATACACAAATATATACAATTTGAATACAATTATACAATCCGAATACAAACATACCATACACAATCTAAAATACCACAGACATTAAAACATACATTCTGAAATTATACATACAAACCCTGAAAGATCATTCTGAATCAACACATAGCGACTCTAAAATAAAATATACACACTCTGAAATAACACCAATATTTTCTGAAATAACTATAACACATAAAACAGTCTGAATGAATACACAATAGTAACATATAAGTCCTATTTTTGAAAAGTGAATTAATACAGAGAAAAATAAAACAACACAAAATTTGACTTTAATTTTACTCACATTAACATCTTTTAAAACCAGACCTTCTAATCCTTCCTGAAACACTTTATCCATCAGTTCCTGTAGATTAGGCACTTTCTAAATATAAACCAAAATTGTGCTCAAAGTTGACATTGACAAGCTGAGTAATGCCTGGTTTATTGCCTCGCTTGAAAGATTTTTAATAAAACCGCATGTAAATTATTTACATTTGCAATAAAAGTGTGTACGTGTAATAATGTATCTTACTGTAATGTGTTGATATTCTGAAAATTTAACATGATCTTTTACTTCTGTCATATTTTCTTGTAAAACTTTTCTTCTTTCTTTAAGAGGTCTGAAAAAAACAAATACATAGATCAAAACATTAGAGCCATGCTACCCCTAATAACAATAAAGAGAAAAAAATATGGAACTTTTCAATTAGAAACATAGCAAAAAAATACTAATAAAATTATTTTTCTAAACTAGAACATACACCAGGGCTGTATTTTCCTTGCATGTGCACTGTGCATGTCTGTAAATACGAACCCCCTAAGAACTCAATTTGGAAGAATATAAAAGTGGGAATTATGATGACTAATATGTAAACCTCAGTTAGGTAAATAATTATTTATTCATGGTGACTTTAGCTTATATAGCAACCACTTAATTTGAATATGTAAGGGCAACCTTTAAAACCTTCAGTGCGACTCAAGTGAGGATGAAACGCCTCAAGGACACTAATGTCTATGTATTGTTTTCAAATAAAATTGCAATAATAAAAACTTGCGACACACACTCCAAATATTAGATGAAAACTGGTTCACGTTTTATTATCTGTAATAATTTCAGCAAGCCTTCAAATTAGCTAACAACATGGTTGGATGTTGGTGGGGACTAAGCGACTAAAGAAGACAGATAAAAACACCATCAAATGATTAACCTTAGAGTTATCCCAATGAGGCATCTTGTCTCGAGGGGTGTTCTCCCTATTGCTACCCAATTCTTTGTTTAAATGAGAATACCAACTCTACCACACAAAAATATGAAGGTTATAGAAAATGTATTAAAAATTTAGATAAAAAAAAAGGGAAAACTCACTTTTCCATGAGATTAATACCATTAATATGTAAACAATCAAATACAAACAAACAAACAGAGGCATCCTGGAATGCTGCTTTCTGAAATTCATAAAAGATGTCTCAATTTTGATAACTGATACAATTGTTTTAACTTTCACACTTAATTTTTTCTGAAAGAGTGTGTATCAATCATCGATCAATAATCGATTAACAAACGAAATAATTTAATTGAGAAACCCTAGAAATACTACATTAAAACATGCCAAATTTCTTAAATTCATGGGTTATTTCTGTGTAATAGAAGTATATTCTTGCTTTGATCAGTTATTATAGTTTTGTTGTGGGTATGTTATGTGCTGAAGGGAACCTATGTGGAAGAGATTACTACTTGTTAACGGGTACAGTGGAGAAAATGTTACTTGTTATATATAATCGATTATGATATTTGATAATCAAAATATAAATTCCTAGCAACGTAATTCGATTATTTTGATCATTTTACCCAGTCCTATATATAAATCATATGCAAATTACATTACAGATGAAAATTATCTTATATATACAGAATTTTTTTTTTTTTATCTCATATGGAAATTATACTTTACATAGAAATTACATCTTGGACGGAAATTATACATATCAGACGGAAATTATATCTCATATAGAAATAATATCTCATATAGAAATTATATCTCATATAGAAATAATATCTCATATAGAAATAATATCTCATATAGAAATAATATCTCATATAGAAATAATATATCTCATATAGAAATAATATCTCATATAGAAATAATATCTCATATAGAAATAATATCTCATATAGAAATAATATATCTCATATAGAAATAATATCTCATATAGAAATAATATCTCATATAGAAATAATATCTCATATTGAAATTATATCCCAAGTGGAAACTTTATCTCCGAAATGAAAAGAATTGAATGGAGTTTTACGTCCTTCTTTCCTGCACCATGTTGGCTAATGAGGACGGGCAACCCCATGCAGGGTGCGTTGAGGGAAATTTTGCCTGGATGCATTAGCCTGCTCTTCCAACTGTCGAGGAATATTTAACGTGCCTCAGTTTATTGTCCCATCCGAACGACTAGACGCTTTTTCCATGTCAGCCCCTCGTACCTGCATTCACTGACAGGGGGAAACTGGGTTAAAAATCCGAAAGTGTTATCTCGACCTATGCCGGGATTGAATCCTGGACCTTCAGGTTAGCGAGCAAGCGTCTAACTCAGCCGCGGTGGCTCCCCTTTATCTCCGACAAAAATCATATCTCATAAAGAAAATAATATGGAAATTATCAATCAGATAGAAATTAGATCTTAAATAGAAAATAATATCTCAGATTTTAAAACCAAGGTCAGCAACTGGAAATGAAAATTACTGAAATTCTCAACAGTACTGTAATTTACCTTGTGAACACCAAGTGAACCAAATGGTAATGGCTGCCCAGTTTTTGTATCCACCAATAAAACTTCAGCATCCAATATTAAATCATTACCAGTGGGAAAAGCTTTTGGGATATAATCTTTAAAATGATTGACCTATTATATACAAAAGAAATAGATTAGGGTTTTACACTGTGGCTACATATAGTGTTGCCAATCAAGATATTTACTATAGGAAATCAGTCAGTAGGACACCAGGCTGAGATATTAAAAATTCCAATATTTCCAAACATATGACACAGAGTAGGTACAACAAGAGCAACAATGTAATTTGCAGGGGCCCAGATTATCCAAACTCATTCACAGGGGATACACAGGTAAAATGAGTAAATGTCTAATTCCAAGCAATCAGACTTTTTCACGCGGCAAACGATTAAACACATGACCATCATTTCTTGACTATTACCAAATAAGATTGCAACCAAACTTACTTTGTGAGGAACTACTGGTTTTAAACTTCTACTAAAATATCTAAATTCAGTTCCCTTTTTATGAACTTGAACCCTCTCACCATCATACTTAATCTCAGCATAAAATCCATTGGGACATTTCTTCATAGCTTGCTGTACTGAACGACAAGCTTCAGCCTGCAAATTAACAGATAATAATGGAAGTAGATTTGATTATATTCACAAAACATGCCAAATATATACCCAATATAAGTTCAAGGGGCAATATCAATAGCATTTACAACTGAATTCTTTACAACATTTCATCAAGATATCCTATAAACGGGCAGTATTATTAAAGAAGGAAAGCATGTAACAACTATTTTTAACACAGATAACAACTCAAAACCTCTTGGAATTTTTCTTTCCTGCATCATCTGTGCCCATTGACTCCTTGATTGACTGGAATAATGAGAAAAGATGACTTATTAAAGGCCACAAGACAGTTCTGCAATATGACCTTAAATAGGTGTCAAAGAGTGTACCTAAAAATATTTGCCAGACTATATAACACAATGAAAATAAGAGAACATGCTGCACTATTTGCTCTTTTATATAACATACCAACATTGGTAACACTGGTGTCATTAACATAGCTTTAACACTCAGTTTCTTCACCATTCCTGGTTTACCATTTTCACTCGCTTCTTTCTGATTGGATAAAACTCTTTCAACAACATCTTCTAAGTTACGTGAAGCTTGAAATGCTTCGTAAGCATTTGGATCTAAGGCCTCTAATCTGTAAACAAATATGATCTTTTCTGCAAAAATTCAGATTTTTCATACATTATGTGGAAGCAAAGTAAGTAAACTAATTGAGGAACAAAGTAAAGATCTACGCTCATTGATCTGAAGCGAAGTGAAACACAAAAATAAAATTGTCTTACACGTGTTTGGCTCCTGAGTTAATTCTTAAATCATGTTTTATCAACCTTATAAACATCTTTAAATCATTGGACGTACATCTGAAACACAAAACAGTGCTCAATACATCAATTGAAGAGTGATATATATATATATATTTCAGCCTGCATCCCTATTTCTTTACATCTGAAATAAACTGACAGATAAAAGAAAGTGTTCACCGACTTCATTTGACCACACACCAAAGACAAAGGCATATGTGAGATATATGATGATCGATTTATAAACAGAAATCAATTTCCTTGAATTAGAATGAAAATGCATTGTAATATAAGAGATAAAGATTGGCTGTGCGACCAGTTATCCCTGATTATCATTGATTAGTTTCGTTTTCATCAATACTTCAACGTTGGTAATGATCAGATAGTCTTGAACAATTCAGGCAGTATGAGGCTTTGCGTTGTCTGAGGCCTTTACTGAATGCCTGTTCTGTCCAACTTATTTATGCCGAAATCGTGCACGTGCATTTGGACCAATGCGATTTGGAAAGCTGCATTCGATAATCTGCATTGTGGTTATGATTACGTTGCTGGGGTTCAAACCTGTACCAGCTTTTTTGCTTTTTATACAAGTGAAAACTTTCTTTTGCCTGTCAATCTATATTAATACATATCTCCAACACATGACTTTGATGGCTAATCACCTTGAAGAGAGTCACACAGAAATGAACTATATTTGTAGCAGACATCGATTAAGAACCTCTTACTCACTGGTTTCATCATGGGCTTCAGCTATATATATCATGCGCCTGAGGACGACGGGGGAAACACGTCGAAACGTTGCATAAAACTTTAACCAGTGATTGTTGTTCCATAAAGCTGTGTCTATATATCGTACTCACAATTGCTAAATGCCATTCAAAGACTTTATATCGAGTTATGACAAAAAGTTTATGTATAATTTTACCTTTTAGCCATTTTAGTAAGAATTCTCTGTTGGTCATCTTCTTTAGTGACTTTTGATAATTCTTCAAGTAGAAAATCAACCTACAGTATATTTCAAACAATTATCTTAACAGATACAGTAGGATTTCAATTAATCTTGATAATATTTAATGAGGAACTTTGCCAAAATAAAGCCATAAACGTTAACTCACTAAACTGAGCTAAAATGTTTGCCTAATGTATCAATCACAAGAGATGTTTTTGTTAATCCATAATAAAGATAGCTGGTTTAAAATGAGGGGTTCAAACTTTTTGTTCATTAAAAATAGGTGAAAAGGATAAGAGCTCATATTACAAACATGTATAATCATCCTATAGTATTGTCATACCATACATATACTGTAGTTATATCACTGCATCAAGCCCTTTTTGTAATATTGAAATCAGAGTGACTTTCTACCATAATATAAAGGGCTGGGAGTGTAATAAACACATATAATAAATATCTTAAACCGTTTTTTCACCTGTTGTATAGACAGTTTACTTTTCCTCTGTGGTTCTAGAGTTTTACTCTGTTCAAAAAATGTCTTAATAGTTTCTGCAACATCACCCTATAAAATATTTCAAACAGAAACATTTATTTTGATTAATTCATTAATAAAATAACATACAAAGGACCCATTTTAAGAGACTGCTGTGACAACAGCTGGGGTTCCTGAATAAAGGTTTTAGATTATCAAAAGTCTAATTGGCTCACCTTGTCAAGGTCTTCTACCATATCAGCTAATATACATCCAAATATCTGAAATATCAGTCATAGTTTTTAAAGGGATTCAAAACAAAATCATGACCAGTCAACTCAAGTTATAGGGAATTTAATAGCAATTATCAACGCAACATAGGAAAGTTTCCATAATCATTAATTCTACCTCAAAATCTAGTTAACTATTCACGTTTTTTTCTTGAATCAGACCAGAATGTACACAAATTGTTAAAGCTGACCAATTAGTAATTGACATTGAGAGAATTTGGTCACATTTCTGTGAAAATATATTTAAGCAAAGTAATAAGACAATAGTTATAGTTTATTGGATTAAAGGGACTGTAAAGTGGTTTTCTAAATTTTTTATGTGTATCGAGGACACTGATAGCATCAATTTGCATCATTCCAATTTTCAATCAAGTTTCAATATGTGGTTCCTGCAATTACACTCAAACCAAGTGTTTGATGATGTCACTAATCACAAAATATACTTGTAAAACATGCTATAGAAAACCTGTTTACAATCCTTGTAATGGTTCTTTATTGAAGACTCCTACTACCTACGACACATCAACCAATATGTACTTACTTGACTGAAGAGCTTCACCAACTGTTTATTATTTAGATTATAGACTCTTTTAACAACACCAGGTAATAAGAGTTTTAATAATAGATATACACTGCCTTGATACTTATCTACAACATAATAAATATATAAAGTTTTCACCTAATTATTATATGCAATTATTACATACATGTATATCATGTGCACTGCACCTGCAAATCCTTATCAATTTGAATACGATCATGTTTAATATAATTGTCTTATAAAGATTTTACTGTTACTTCATGTTAAAGGAAGTTACAGCAGATTATCAGAATTTTCCATACAAGAATAAATAACAAGAAAAACAAATGTGGTCAATTTTGTATCATTTCCTTGGATTAGAATACTTTATAGATTAAACTGTAGCCAAACCATAGGTCAGGCTTGTATTCTTAAAAGGTGTCTGACTTTTAATTCTTATCAGTTAGTAAATCAAACAATGACAGTAATAAAGATACTCACCACCATTGCTGCCCTTTTTAATATATTTAGATACAATAGCGGTTTTACCAGTGTAAGAATTCTCTTCAGCTATAAGTGCACATAATCTACGGAACTCCCTGAATGAGTTATCTTTCTCTGCCTCTGGTGACATGTTGGTATCATATTCTATGTCATCATCAATTTTACTTGTTGATGGTTTGGCTGTAAAACAGTGTAAGATTTCACAACATGTTTCAGGTTCTGTTTTAATATTTTGGACAGTTTAAGTATGTTAAATATACTGGTTTTACTGTGAAGATACTCTTTGAGAATTTCAGTTGAAATCTTGAATTAAATCTTTTTTTTTCAAGTTGAGGGATCTTTAGCAAACCAATACCATAACAAGTAAACTACAAGGAGTAGCCTTTGACCTATCCCAGACCAGTGGGAAAATGAACAAGCTGACCTACCATGGTTGGATGAAAACAAATTCAGACAAACTTACTTTCTTTAGTGCTGGTTTCAACTTTAGGTGGAGAAAATGGTAATTTGGATTGAGTCACTGGAGCTTTCTTTTTCACTGGTGTTTTACTTGTTTTCGAACCAGCTTTAGCTAAGAAATCTGAAATATTCAGAAAATAAGTTATAGGCTAATCTACAAAAATAAAATTAATACCAAAAGAGATATTGTGATTGAAATATTTGCTTAGAGTTTTTGTAATGTAGGAAAATCGGTCATCATTTACCATTCTAAAAATTGTTATGGATAGCTTAAACTCAAAAAATATTTATTCTGCTACTAGGCCTACATTTTGACAATTATTTAAAGAAACATTAACCTTTGATGAGTTGATTAATCACATCTTTATCTTCATCCTTTAAATCTTTAAAATCTTCTAAATCATCAGGATCTTCAATTTTCTTGGTAGTTGCTCGTGCTCTGACAAATGTTTCAAAAATACATGATGGATGAAACCACTGTTTCATATCCCCTCCATCTTCACTAAAAGGATTGGAGACAACTTTACCAATTCTCATATCTCCCTTTCCAATCTTTGTTTTACATTTTTTACAGCTTGATGTTCCCAGTTTAGCATAGCCAACTATATAACGATTGTCTGACATCTTGTATTTAAGCTCTGTTTAAGCTTTGGGCTTTATTGAATCTGAAACATTACAAAAGCTTTGTGGGTTTTTAAAATTAAAGGGTTTCTGCATGCTTTGCAAGTGGGCAGTGTAGTATGTAATAAATGCCATGTTCCCAAAATGAAGTTAGCTTAACCTTACCATAAACATGTACTATGCTACTTGTACACTATTAGCCATACGGCAAACATATTCTAAATGACTTTGTCAGCAAAATAAAAATAGTATCTTACCAATCGATTTGTAAATAAAAAGACAAGAAATAAAACCGGTGAATGACGAGGACATGTCTCCAGGAACTTTCAACCTTTAAATCTAAAGACAGGCTTTCAACCTAATTCCCTAACGATCGAATATCTTTAAAGTCCAAAATCACATCATAAAATTCAATATCTCACCTTTGAAATTCAGTTTATTCGAAATATTTTCTTGTCATACACATTCAGAATTTTGCTTTGTTGTTTTTAGTGGTGGGTTATTTTTAACTTCGACACTAAAGAGTAGTAAAGGGGACGTAATTTGAGACACCAGACAACAGTTGTATCAATCAATTACACTGTAACAGGATTTTGTTGTTTAATTTGAAAAATCGAAATGGTTGGTTTAAGAGGGTATGGTTCCATATATGCGGAAGCGGTATCCGTCAAAATATTGTCTCCGTCATGCGTCAGAAAAAAAAAAAAAATTGCCGGGTGTAGCGATTTTTGACGCATCCGGACGCCTTTCCGCGCGGAGATCTCCCAAATGTGACGTATTTTGTGGGGATTCCCTGTCTTTTTTCCTGCCATATTGTGACAACGAAGATAGTGATTTCAACATACTCTTTTTTTTAAACAATATTTATTCAAGAATTACAAATATTACATACATATATATAAACATATGGTTTTGGAAACAAGCTTTAAAGCTTATATAAATCCATAGTCGACATAAAACTGAAAAACTCATAGAGTTAGTGAAAAAACACCCTCATCTTTACGATAATAGATGGCAATTACACCATGATGCGGATTTCATGTATAATAGCTGGAGCAGCATTGCCAGGATCATCGGAATCAAAGGAATAGACGTTAAATATTCTCATAAAAGACTCAAAAGGCTCCACATGGTATTGGAATGTTTGTTATAGATGCCGTTCTTGTTTATGTATATTTTATGATGGCTGGTTGACAATGATTATTGTTTAGTCCGTGCGTCAAAAGAAAGATAACGCATACGTTTAACGCACATATGGAATGATATTTGACGCATGACGGATCCGCAAGGACCATTTATGTCCGCATGACGCGTATATGGAATTTTAGCTTTACAGTACTTAAATAAAAAAAATAGAACAAATTCAGACAATAGTCTGCTAAACCTTGTTCGCCCTAGATTCCATTTGCACTAGAAAGATCAAAGATCAATTTTAAACAAACAGTATGAACTGTTCCAGTGCAAATCAATACAGTTTTAGCATGCTTCAATAACTTTCATTATTCAATGTCTTACAAACGCACTTAGCCACCTTGCTTATCAGCTATGTACTGCCATTTGCTTATAGCTGTTTTGTCCAAATTAAACGACATAACTCAAAGTTAATCTAAATTTTGACGAACTAAAATGATCACTGTGCAGACTGGTGTTCAGTACAATTTACTTCCCATTCTTATCAATACACTTCGAATATAGGATTTTTTTTTAAGGAGCTATTGTTCAAAATTAATTGATTTATATTATTGAATTTTTCTTTTTTGTAAACAATATTTTATTCATATAGAAAAGGATTGGGGAACAGGCTTTCGCCTATATTACCCCTCTCCCGAAAAAAAAAACTTTACATTATATATGCAAAAATTGTACAATAAAAATAAAAAGATAGCTTGCCAGGCAAGGTAATATACGCCCACTGGCAGCTTTGATTTTGAATAAAAATATTTAGCAGTACAGTAACAATCACCAGTATGAAATATTCAACCTTCAGTTATACACTTCATTTGAACACTTTAGGGCGATATGGAATAATATTGAGTATGAGTTACTGCCCTTGTTCTTGAAAACGTGTTCAATCTTTAGCTCGTGAAAACTCTAGAAGACAAATATTCAATCTTTAGCGAGAATCATACATTCTACAGTTTCTACGAGCTACAAATTGAACTATTTTCAAGAACAAGGGCAATAACTCTAATACTAAATATTTTTCAATCTTTCTAATTTTCAATAGGCTTTATCCTTGGGTGATAACAAACACTCAAGCCAAGTTTCAATAAAATCTGTCAAGAATTGTGCCTTCTAGAGTGTTTACAAGCTAAAAATTGAACCCGTTTTCAAGAACAAGGGCAATAACTCATACTAATTATTTTTCGTTCTATCTTATTTTAAATAGGGCTCATCCTTGGGTGATAACAAACACTCACACCAAGTTTCATCAAAATCCATCATGAATTGCACCTTCTAAAGTGTTTACGAGCGTTTCAAGAACAAGGGCAATAACTCATATTAAATATTTTTCGATTTTATCGATTTTCAATAGGGTTCATCCTTGGGTGATAATAAAAGGTTTCAGCAAGTTTTGTCAAAATCCAGCAAGAATCTTTGGCCATGCTAACATTTTAGTTGAATGCTACAATTGAACACCAAAAGGTGTATCTGCCTAGATTGAGCTGTTGAGTCAAAAAGTTCAGGCAACCTGTTTTACAGATATTTTCTCGATTTCTCTATTATAAACGGGGACATATCTGTGATAGGAAAAGGGTCATATAGGTGAAAGCCTGTTCCATAATCCATTTCTTATGAATAAAATATTGTTTACAAAAAAGAAAAAAAAAGAAAAGCTTTAGACTTTATTAACTGGTAAAGGACAATAACTGGCGGTAATTATGTTGATATCAGGTAGAGGTTCAGTAGTATCGGAGCATGGTTTATCCACGGGATCCATGGTTTTACTAGTACCTGTGGTCTCGACCCGTCCAATGTCTAATTTACCACTGTCCTTTGGCTTGATATCGTTGACACAGTTATATAATGACACAAACAATGCCACGAATACCAGGAACCCCAAGACAGATACCAGAATCCACATTTGTCTACTGGAGACAAAGTCCTCCTCGATGCTTAAATCAAACGTTACGGTCTTCAGTCTAAGTAGATTCGGCAAGTCATTCTCTTTGTTGTCGTTGATGGTCCCGAATTCTTTGTCTGTAACGTTCTCACATCTAAATGGTTTGGTTTTAATAAAGTATACTCCACCTGAAAAGATAAATTGAAATGAACTAAATTATCGTCAAGATTAATCTAACCTGAACCCTTCACATGCAATGACGCTGTGATACTAGTGCAAAACTTACAGTGCAAAGTACAGGGGAAAAACTCCTTTGTTCCCTAGAAAACAACCCGCTGACCCACAGCAGCTTCAATAATCCTATATACACCAGACACTGTTAAGGCTACCGATGCAAACAAATCGTCAAACAACCTTACGGAGAACATTTAACATTTGCGCACTTCATGAAAAGAAACTGCTGAGAGATGACTTCAAGTAATCCTAAAATATTCCGAACTAATACCAATACCAATTCATTATTTTGGGGTTTGAGACAGTATTTACCGCTTTATGAGCAATGAATTTAACGATACAAGTTATACTCACCACGCCTGTTAGGAAAATCATGAATCAACTCAGATCGCTTTCGTCTTTCATTTTCACACGATGACTAGAATAAAATTTATTGAATAAATTGAAAACAGTCTCATTTGGTATTTTTTATCCTGAGGGGTCCAGTATATTTTTTCTAACGAGAAAAATCAATTTGATTTTTAATTAAAATTGTAACTGATAACTGAAACATAATCTCTTCAAACCGCGACTTAAAAAAAATAAGATATCTCATAGGGAAAATAAAAACTACAAGGTTATTAGACCAAATAACAAATTTATAAAAGATACGTACCCCGTCACAGTTCTGGAAGCAAAGTGTCAAATTACATTCGAAGTCCACAGAATCATCGCCATCAACTTTGAAAGCACCAAAATAAGGACTGTAGGCCTTCAACCCTTTTGTAATAAACGCTTCCTCTCTGCCAAATACAGAACCGTCACCGCATCTATAACAATAAAACATAAATCATACGATCAGGTAGCACCTCGTTTTAAAATTTACACGTAGATATTAAAGCTACCATGGTTATAAAAAGCGAGCAACAGTAAACATATGGATACATATATCCAGATAAAAGGTAAAAATATATATGTATAATCGATGTATAGGTCAGCAGAAGCATTTGACAAAGTTTACCCATGATGCAATCCAAGATCTTTAGTCAGAGTAATCTAATTGTTTATTAAGCTGATTATAAAAATGATTTAAGTTACTAACCAAATCATATGACAATATAACACTAAAATCATTTTATGTAAAGTTTTCGTGATATAGCCTTAGTGGTGTAAATACATACCCTGCCCTGAAAATGGCATGACGAGCGCCTGACGGAATCCCTACAGCATCACAGCTAACTGGTTTGATTCCCACCTCACCGCTACTGCCTAGAAAATAATATTCACACCCTGGTTATATGAACCAAAAATAAAATAAGATGCCGTGCATGGTAGATACAGCGTCGGAAGAAATGAAAACGAAGATACATTAATCTAAATATTTAATTTATCAACCGATAGGGGTACATTTCTTCTTCTCGTATCCTTTTCAGAATGCAAATCCAAGGTGTACCTACAAATGATCTTTAACGTATCCTGTAAGATCTCAGTGATAAACCATATCAGTAACATCTGCACGTCCTGAAATGGCCCGAAGGTCTACTATACTATATGCATTGAAAATAATGAATTGAGAAACCGACACAAAATGCATTGGACATCTAGAGCGCTTACCATCTGTCGAAGCGATGAGTCGAACATATCTGTCCAATTGAATAGAATCTGCTATAACCTCATGTCGTACATTTACCAAATCTAACGATAGGTCTGAAGTGGTCGGTTCTCCCATGTTGTGTGAAATTTCCTTTGGAGCCAATATTCTGAAATGTAAAGTGTGTGTACGTCAACACATGGGCATATCTTTAATTTACACCAAAGCACGCTCAGTTAAGAATGCCTCGCAGCCAACTGGCGCTTACTCACTTTAAGGCAAAAGATCGTTCATAACCAATAATTAGAGACATAGTTGCTCTTTCAGTTTCACTGTGCCTTTTCAGATAAACATTGTCATAAAACACAGAGTGTCAACGCTCAACGACGCTCTTTCACTTAAAGTATAGCTGTGGTTGGATTTGTGAAAACATTGTAGACATTTATTTCTCTGGATCAATAACATGGAAGATGAAAGTTACTTACCGATCACCAATCACAGTCTCTTCAGTCTTAGGTGAACCTTTCTCGTCAAAATTACAAGTTATCAAGTACTCCCTATTATGAGTGTCAATTGACCCTGCCATGTCACCCCAAAACATGGTCGCTTTTAATACATAGGTATTAGTATTGTTCAATCTCTAAAATATATCAACGTAGGGTTGGTGTCAAATCATAATCAATGCATGATTGCCATGTGTCTGTTTCGGCATTCAGGGTGCCTTCTGTTAAAATGAAATTCGTGTAGAAAGCAAAAACAGTAAATAAGATCCTATAAATGTCAAATGAAATGTAGGAAATTTTTTGCAAGAATATGCAATGTATTGTTGTAGCAGAAAAAATATGTTTTATACGTCCAAATACTTCTAACAAGATAGTTTGCCAGGCAAGGTAGTATACGCCAACTAGCACCTTTGATTTTAAATAAAAATATTTGGCAGTACAAGATATTCAATCTTCAGTCATTCACTTCTTTTTAACCTTTAAATGTGACACTGAACAATATTAGGCTACCATATTGCCGAAGTCCGGCATGAATAGAGCCATTTACATTTACAAACTAAAAATTAAATGCATTTCCAAGAAAAAAGGGCTATTACTCATAAAATATTTTTTCAATTTTTGATAAGGTTCATCCTTGTGTGACTACAAACACTCACACCAAATTTCGTCAAAATCGGTCACGAATTTGTGCCTTCTAGAGTGTTTTACGAGTAATAAAAAATTGAACGAGTTTTCAAGAACAAGGGTAATAACTCATAAATATTTTTCATTCGTCAAAATCCGTCAAGAATTACACATTCTAGAGTGTCTAAGAGCATTTCAAAAACAAGGGCAATAACTCGTACTTAGTATTTTTCGATTTTTTGTGATTTTAAAGTCAGATATGTCTTTCATCGCAACGCTTTCATTTTTACACAAAATTTGTTGTTGTAAGTATTAAGCACTTACATCAAAAACACAATAAAACTGGCTGTCCATTAATGACGGGAACAGATCGAGAAAAATACCATCTTCAGTCAGGAAATCAAAATCACCATTTCGACAGTGTGCAACGGCTCCAGCTCCATTCAGATCAGTCATAATACTGATAATAGGTTGATTATATGCTACACTGGGCCCACAATCATGATATACTGAAAATACGATACATGTGAAGTACAGAAGTTCAGCAATTCAGTCAATTGCAATCGTCTTTTCCTTTCAGATGCGGTATCTGCACAGTCTTATTGGCTAGTTTGGGCGACATATTAAGAACTTTCCACCCATGTGTTCATGTTAGATCTGCCGTCATGATGGCTCTTAAAGCGAACAAGATGTAAGTATAACAAGGTACCAAGAGGAGAAATAACATAAATTATACAAACCCGAGAGGGCAAATCCCTCAGGAATCTTGTCTTGGTAACCCTAAAATACACAATTATCGATTGTGAAACAGATAACTATTATAATACTCCCCCCTCCTCTTACGTTCAATAAAAACAATCAAGAATCGTTTTAAAAATGTACTGTATGTATAGCAAATGGCGGCATGATTTTAGAACAATTATTGTTATTTTGAAGCTAGGACAAACTCCATATTTAATTGCCACAGAAACAATGTATGTTATCCAAATCCTTCTGACACTCAACCAACGGACTACAATCCAATACAATATACTCACACCGTAACCTACACAAAACAATAGACCATATTCAAATATTGAATATTATTACAAAGGTAGGGAATATGCACACATCTCACGGATCTTAAACGGATGGCTAATTTCAAATCTGTTTATGTTAACTGACCTGAGTAAGACTTGATATGACCAAAATGAAGAAGCTTGTTCTTAACACATCTAAAATTGATAAAACAAACAAAGTTTTCAAAAAATTACATAATTCTGCACATACCAATTCCATTGTTTCGTCTTAGATGTTGGGCTCAGGATTGCTGTCAATTGCCGGTATCTAATCCGATTCGTCGCAGTCGACAAGGCGGTCAATACCGAGAAATTGACCCACTACTTGCAGTTGCGATCAGTTTGGAGGGCAAATTTTTACCACAAGAGCCCTTTTTGATTAAAATGAAAAATTCATTGTTACGTTATTTCTCCACCTGCCACTTAAAGGGGCAAATTCGCCATTTTTGGCATTTTGGTATAGAGAAAAAACGAGTCTTCTTCTAAACTTTCTAACGCAGATAGATCTGGACATACAGGACTCAAATTTCGATGGCGAGTTGTGAACACTATTACTGATCCGCGTAGCTAAAATATTTCCCGCTTCTAATACTAACGTACGATTGGTCTAAAGAATGACGAACTTTAATATTAATATTCAATCAATCAAATGCTCTGTACAATAAAATATTTCATCTCTATGCTCGCAATAATAGATTTGTCAAGGCGTTGATAAAAATGTCAACCAATGAAAACATTATTTCTTTAGAAATTTAGAGGTGATTTCTAAATCTGATTTGAGGACCATTTTCACAACATTTCTAGGAAGGAAGTTTGTTTATTGCAAAAAACCCAACTCTTTGACCAAAATGTTTACAGAATACCATTTTGCCCAATATTTTCGTTTGAATTAAAATACCAACTCCAAAATAATATTGAGAAGATAACTGTGCGATCACGATGTTTATATTATATATATATGGTATTTTAATTCAAACGAAAATATTTGGCAAAATGGTATTCTGTATATATATTTTCTATGTGGATTGAAAATGCCTAAATTTACGGAGAATCTTAGATTGCCTTTGCGTTGATGAAAATCCTATTGCAAATTCATTATTTATATTTTGCAATCAACTCTTTATATTGAAGAAAAATTGCAAAACGGTAGGTATTTTACCTGTCATCTTTCCCAATTTAATCAGCAATGTTTACAATGACCTCTTATCTGACTGTTCGCACGTGCAGAATAAAATTGTTAGTCGGAAATAGTCGTATACACAGACAATATCCCACTGTTGATATATTAAATATTGTGTTTTACAGTAAGATTAAGTAAAATTAATCTGTTGAATCAAACGGTCAAGAGATTGGTTTGCTCAGCTAATTTTCAGCTTTCACCAATGATGTCATAATATGTCGGGTGACAAGTTTACGCTCGTTTTTACTGTAAGCTGATATCAGTTCGGATTACATGATACCCTTTGACTTTTATAGTCATAATTAACAAGACGTTCAGCCATCGATCGATTTGGTGTAGTCGCTATTTTCCAGACACTTAATATCGACCAGATGGACACCAACCCAGCACGCGACCATCTATGTAGTACGTTCATCGGTTCATTGTGACACATGTTCTAATTTATAAATAAACACAAAATTTGAAATTTAAGGCTGTGACGCGACATATTGCAGAAACTTATCAACGTAGAGTGGCATGCAGAGTACCCATTGGATAAAGGACATCGTTTTGTAGAGATGCATGGAATGGAATCGCTAGTGGAATTGGTCTGTTATTGAGGTGAATATTGTTATCGATTTTCCTAACAGATCAAAACAAACCGATGAAGCACAAAACTGCCACAATTGACTACAGACAAAAGGAAGTGGTTACTACATAGTCAATGAAACACCAAAAGAAAATTTGGACTGTGAAGAGATGTAAATTTCGAAAACATCGTAAGTAGTTATAGCTTGATCAGCAAGTATAATGAGTGTAGTCGTCGTATTTCCAATATTGAGAACAGATTACACCGGAAGATTAAAAGCCATAACAACGTATTTTAGATTCGAATTAATAAATATTTACAGATGCTCCTTCCCATTTAATCGTTTTATATTTCTCCTTAAATTTTTGATTTATAGGATGTTGGTTACCGAAATAAAAAACTACGATCTCCAGTGACCATTTCATACCCCTTGGTTTTTAATGATCATTATTATTACTTTATTTTGTCGTTGATTGATCTGAATTTTTACCTAGGCCTGTGCTTTCGTAATTCCAATTATATATTGTTGTTACAACCACTCTCACCAAACTAAAATGACATAAAATGACGTGTGACGCCCCACTTTTCTGTTCCAGTTTTGTTTCAATGAAAACAAACCATGTAATGTAGTACCGTAAGCGAGATTTTGACAGAAAAGCAGAATGCTGCATTAATATAGTTTTTGAATTGAATTTGAAGTTTTTTTTTACTATTTCGGATCCAGCACTAAACGTTATGTCTGAACTATACTTCCGTGTTAAAAAAGTACAACCCCTTTTAAGGGAACGGATTCTCATAAACTGATCGCATAGGTCTGAATTTAAGGGTCTGTACTTCCTTTACTATTATAATAGAGCAAAGCTATGTGTATCTGTGTCCTCATTATTCCAGTTAATCCGACTGTGGATATATCATCACCAAGATATTAAATCAAGAATCGTCTTGTCGACCCGATCGTCAAAATTAGTATCCAATATACGTTTTTGCCTTTTTTTGTATCGGATTTTCTATACGATGTTGACAAGCCAGTATACTTCGGTTTTGGTATTTCGGACGTTGTATTTAGTGAGTGTCTACATGTGCGAACGCAATAGAATATACAAGAAGTTAACAACTGAATCCATATTCAATTCCTTTTAATTCTTTTTACATAATAATATATAAAAGATAAAAAAAACAATTTCAATTTCAGAATGGGGTTTCGGTGGTCTGAATTGAATTTCGCCTGTTTTCTGGTTGTGGTTGTGATCTGTGAAGTATTTTTTATAGCCAGCGTGTTTTCTAACGAACATCAACAAGCTGAAATTAAAGCTAGAGTGAAGTTAAAAGAAAAGTTATTCGATCAAGCGTCACAACGAACTGTGGACAGAACAGGTACGACGGTAGCGTTAAAAAGACCGGGAAAGTTAAGCCAAATCCTTCTTGGACAACGAATTATTAAGCAATATCTGTGATAAAAATATTACATACTTTGCTAGGATTCCGTATCAAATAGACAGAAATTAAAGGGACAGATGCGTCATTTTGTTTTACAAATCGTACCATAGTCTCAGAAACGGGAATTATTTAGCTGAGCTAATTTTTTATACTGTTCACAGGTCACCGTTCACAGCTGTCTATAGAAATAGGAAAGGAATTTCCAGTTTGAGATATATTTGAAGAAATTAAGTGATTTTCGTACATTTCTAGTACTCCTGAAGACCATTTACATACAAATATCAACGACTTAAATCAAAATGGCACATAAGGCATTTCGCTAGCCTACATGTTGTCATGAAGATCACATTAATATTATGCTAGTACGTTATGTTCCTTTCGGTGTTTTCCAGTTGGTTTTCTGGCATTGAGGACCTAATAGAAGCATTGAAACGGAATCAAATATCATCATATTTAACCTTTGCGTCGATATTCTCGCCATTTATTGATTAATTACCCTCTTTACAGATCAGCCATCAAATAAAAATGGCCTTCGTGGTATCATCTGGTGATGGTCCACTTTCACCCGGGCCCTTCTCATTGAGCAATCGATGTGTAACCCAACAGACGGAGTACTGATGTGTGTGCTTATAATTTACTACAAATTCTAAACATTTCCAAAGCTTTCTTCCATCTTAAATCAATTTTCAGGTGGGATTTGTCCCCGATAATGACGAAATAGTATAAGGAGGACTTACTCTTCCGTTTAATGGTAAGATGTAGGTTCTATCTTGGGTTGTATAAGATGTTATTATGCGATCATATTTCATAGGGTGCATAAATCATTTGATCTCAAATCATATTCTACATGTATATTGAAATATATCATAGTTATTGTTGATGCAGAATAATGTAAATAAATAGTAAACAATCATGTAGCAACCAGTTGCTCAACTAGTTTTTTTTTCAACATATGCTCTGCAGCATTCTTAGCAAGTAAGGACACACTCCGGTAATTCATTTGCCATCTGCTTCCATGTGAAAGATTGGTTTCCTTATTTTTTAGTGTCCAATTAAGCAAACTATTTGAAGAACTGGTGTTTCTTATGAATTTTCACGTATTCTTAATCATATCATTACGTTCTTAATGCATATAATTAAGAGTTTTAACCAATCAAAAATGTCCATGTATGTGCAGTCTGGATAAACAAAAAAGTCTTTTTGAGCTTTCTTGATCGGTCATTCATTGGAATCATGCTAGTAATTCTTTTCTAATTTAGCTGATTATTAATTAATTATTGACATGTGAGACAAACTGGTATTTTTCCAAGAATGAAAATAAGGGAACCCATCTTTAAATCTCAAAAATCAACCTTTTATAACTTTTCCCAAAAATCTCGTTGAAAAATTTCACATGGAAGTCTGACCAAGACTTAGATTCAGGACAAAAATTCAATATATCATGACCATGAAAATTTAAAACTAGCTAAACTGAAGTACATCACTTCATTTTATCAACATCCACTTGGCCCTCACTGCAGACAACATGACTATATTTAGAATTATCCTTCCGCATGAAAATCTCTCATCATCTCACAAATGTTATATCATATAATGACGACATTGGTATTTTAAATTTTGGCAACTCTATATCTCCATACCTCTGTAGTTTTATGCTATTTCATTCATTTACATATTTTTGTCTTACATTTTGTATATTTATGGGGTGAGGGAGCCTCTTATAATGGGTACCGACGGACTTGGTTAAACAAGTATCTATGGTAATAGAGTCACTGGTAGCCAACTACGAATATTCGACTCGGTCTTGTACTTGCAATGGATGTTTCTTAATGATAATATCTCTTGTCGGTTTAAAGAGAAAGCTAAAACACGATATTGCTGCCAGGAATGCAACTATAAACCGAATCATTTATTATATAACATGAAATGTGCTTGGTATCATGGGAGTTTTATATATGGTCAAATCCACCGCTCCCAGAACAATTCCTTAGTGACGGACAATATCTGTAAATACATATAAGTGAAATCATAGGTAAGTGGGTCTTTTTTCATGCTCGATGGACATCATAGACCAGTCAACCGACGCTAATAAACAACGACTGAGTTAACATTTCAACCATATATCTATTCTTAATATTTTAATGTTTGACACTGATTGCTGCTAATCATGTTTAATACCCCATGCCTAACGGACATGGTTTGTCTCTATGACAAAAAAATGTAGTTTTCGACGTCAAATAGTTGAATGAAAGATTGCAATTCTGAATATTTTTAATTCGTAAGATATTTGGGAGAACGGAGTTTCAGGTTTTCAAGTTGTGCTAGAATCGTCATTTAATATACCTGCAAGAAAGTCATGATTAAACTACAAAACGATGGGGAAATCATGATGTTTAGTATTATACGCCCCTGTAGCCACATTCGGTTTAATCTATAGACAAACTAGGCAGTTGCCTTTCGGACCATGGAAAATTCGGCCCATGACAAATTTTCTAACAGTAAATATTATCAAACAGTTAATAAATTTCTGCAGGCCCATCGAAAATTCGGCCCAGTTGATGAGAAATTTCTTCACATAAAACATACTAAACTTCTTTATTTACTTTATTATAAAGGTCTCGCAACCTTAGCACCTGCAGGGATAAACAAACAGTTCTCGTATTTCAATTTATCTACTCTTACTCTTTCATCATTTATTTGCCATTCTTTAATTTTTCTGTGACCTATATAATTTTTTATTTTATTATCTCCCTTGAAAACATATTTATTTCTTCATTTTACCTCGCTGAATGTGTCATTTCTTGTCAGATAAGTGTAGTTCTTCGTAGAGATAGAACTTTTCTCACCAATTTTTGTTTTGTTTCGCTAAAATGAGAAATTAAGCCCTCTACCGTTCGTTTGCCTACGACCCAACAAGTCCAAAATCTTTCTTTAGCTACGTCCCTGTTCTTACTTAGAAATAACAGAAACGAGTATCGTTTGTAAAATCAATTGTACATAAGAGGTTTTGTAGGTTTCTTGTATTTTGTCCTTTGTATTAGACGTAGGCGGTATTTTGTATTAGAGGTTTCTTTTGTTTCGTCTTTAGCATTAGACGTTTTAGGTATTTTGTATGGCATTATGCTACATTTGTGTTTTGAATGAACAATTTCTACATAGTAATAGGTTTTTGCCGCTTTCCCCGCCATACTCTTTTACCATTCTGATTGGTCAGATTTAAATTGCACCACTCTCATTTCCACGCCCACAACACGATGTGTGACGTTCTTAAAAAAACCGTATTCGTGATACGATGGTAAAAGACGTGACTCAAACCGATCTCTGTTTACGCCACTAATCTAATCGGTATGAATTTTAAATCGAATTTTAAAAAAATACGGTAGCAGTTTAAAAACTGATCTCGCCAATCAGGTTTAAATTTTAAAACAATATATTGACTGTACAATAATATTGTTATGATGAATAATGGATCCACCAATTTCTAAAGTGTTAAATCAACATTCCACCGAGAGTTGCCTAGTATGACTCTGTGGGTCCGAGTTTGCTTTCGTAATGTCTTTTATTTTTTTTCGAAATTTACACAGAGCACACAACTTGACTGCAATAGCTACAGCAACATTTAAACTTTCCTAAACCTTCCATAGCGAGGACTAAGTCATTGAAATAAATTGGAACATTTTTGCAGAACCGGAATTGGCACATTGCAACATATGCAAAAAGAAGAAAATTGGCTCTAAAATTCGCATTTTTGAATCGATTTTATTCTGGCTTTCATTTTTGGAATCTGAAAATATTATCCATTTGCAGTTAATCGATTTTGTAAATCGAAACCTCGTAGCACTTTTGTAAACCAACTTTTGAAATTTGTCACATTGTTTTTCAACTTTGCTGTTTTTTGTCCAATCTGAAATGTTTGGTGCAAAGAGAGAGTAAACAAAATTAATCTGTCAAACTTTTATGTCACTTCCGGTTTAATCGAAACCGATTCTCACTTCCGACTGTCCTACTTTCAGTGTTATGAAGATAGATTTATTATATGTAGAAGCTTCAAAATTTAGAGCATAACTGGACAATATGATTAAATCTATGACAAAGCAAATGCGATGAGTGTATCTTTTTATTTTAATTTTGGAGTTGGAGCACAACTCGTATAGAATACATTAATACAAAAACTTTTCACTTTTGGTCAGTTTACGTTAATAGGTCAGTTGATTCAGTATTGTGGTTCTAAAAATGGAATAAACCTTGACCTTTATAGGACCTTATTAGCCTTAGCGATCAATCTTAATTTTGGCTAATCATGAAACTGGATAACAAAATGGGTAACGAATATCAAGTAATGATAACATGCATGTAATAGCAATGTTAATCTGTAAGCATCCAATTTTCACCTTCCTCTTTTTTTTTATATATAATTATCATTACTTATCAAACCCCCCAACCTCAGACAGTTTTCCTTTTATGGAAAAAGTTTGCTCGTGTGAACTGGAGCTAGACATGGAATACAATGTATTTGATGTGTAATAATTTTGCGGAATAGTTACTTTGGTAGTATTGGAATTTCACATAAAAACTTGAGTGGTTTGGTACAAGTTATATCATAAAGCCCACGTTCATATGCCCGATATCCAAAGCAGTGCTCCTCGCCGTTTTCATTATTTGGGGAACCTTGAAAATTAGTGTAGGTAGAACCATCCAGCCATGAAAATTGACCTTCCATGAATTGATCTGTTCCTCCCAAATAGAAAAACCCATTGGCTATACCTTCTGAAATGTAGAAAAATTCAGAAATGGCTTAGTTACCTGAAAACAATAGCAAAACGTTCGATGAAACTACAAGAGCACTAACTGGATGTTCATTATGGGATTACGTACGACCAAATGTCCATAGCACGCCTCCATTCGTCATACTTATTAAAACATTTATAGAAACGCAACTTAAACCCTGTATCAAACCGTTTTTCTCGCACTGAAGGCTAATGAATTTTGGAGCAGACAAATGTATAAAAACACAAATAGCCACATATCACAAATTTAAAAGGAATGTAAAGAGGTTTTCACAATTTGCACCATTCTAATTTTTAATCAAATGTGTGTGCCTCCTGCAATTCCACTAAAACTAAGGGTTTGATGACGTCACTAATCGCGAATGGCCTTATATATTGAGATTAGTGACGTCATCAAACACTTCATTTTAAGTGGAACTGCAGGAACCACAGACGTCTGACTGAAAATTTAAATTGTGCAAATTGATGTCCCCTAAACACATATTTTTTTTAGAAAACCTCTTTAAAATCCGCTCAAAATGCAGATTTGGTTAAAACAAGACCTACCTGCATTTAAAACTGTTTTCAACAGGTCGAATTTATCTAAAGAATTGACGAGGTACATATGACCGTATTCGGTATCACAAACTAAGTTTGCTTCCATCCATGACTTCTTAACTGAATGAAATTTCACACAGGTGTTATCATCCGGATAAAATGTGTACCCCAAATCTTCTCTACAATTTTCTACAAGAAATAAATTATCTTTATGAAATATGCAATGAATGCCCATCTGGCCATTTTCTCCACCAGTCTGATTGAAATGCACATGTAGATATTCGTTTCGTGAATATTTCGTATTCCGTGGACTAATTGAAAAATATTTCCTTAAATCTGATTTAATTTTGATATTTTTGGTAAAAATTTACTTGGAAAGAATGTGTTCTTATCTCTTCAAACAGGCAGCGGAAAAGCTATGTTGTATTTTGTTTACAGGACCTAATTTCCGTTCTACCGATCTGATTCTGATTGGTCAGATTCAAATAGCTCCAATCTCATGCATGCCAACAAAACGAAGTATAGGGGGCTTAGTTTGATACGGGTTTATAAGGCAATGCCAAAACCCGTATTCGTGATACGATGGACCATAGACAGCATGGGAAATCGCCCATTGAGAAACACGAAACGAAACCGTTGGAACAGTATTTTATTCAGATTGTTTCTCTGACTGGGATAATCTGTCATCATCAGCTATACAGTAATAGGAAAGAATATAAGTCAAATCAGCTTACCAAATGAAAATCTTTGATCAACGATACCCTAATAACACCAAGGCATCGAAGAACAAAACTAGTGACATTCGATAAAACCAGTTATATATATACATGTACAAGGATGCCAATGATACTTACTGTAATATGTCCAATATATCAATAAATTTGGATCCTGAATTGGCATTACTGCACTTCTAAACCTTCCTACGTGAACACCACATTGTTTCGACGCAACGTTGTATTGAAATGATAACGAATCATTCATATTTGTACTGCGGACAGCGCAATATACCCGAGTTACATCATGGTAATATAGAGTGTCAGCGGCAAAGCCACTATGTGATGGTAACAAGAGGAAAGTGCTCCCTACTTCATCCGAATATACATATGTATAGGTCGAGAAAATACGTATCAGACAAACACAAATACTTAAATGGGTGAGCATATTTATCAAGTATTCAGATTAGATAATTTATAACCTGATAGTGCTCTAATATTGTAAGAAAATATGACACATGGTTTCCAATTCCAACCTTAACAGTGGTCTCTTTTGACGCTAGGAACTATTCCAACTAGTTAGCTGGTATATGGTCTTGAAATTTCCTTATACTCATATTTCTCAATAAAGAATATATATACAGTGTACATGCTTAAATTTCCATTCACAAAATTAATTAAAGACTTTCCAACACTTCATGTTTACTATCATATACGTTCAATGAATGTCATTTATGATGCATTGTTAATGAAAATGACTTTCTTTTTTACAATCTTGTATGTTCACGTTTTTTTTAAAAATAATGCTCACTATCAAAAACGTAATAAAAAATAAATGTTCACTTTAATATTCACGGGTAGAAATTACTTCTGTAATTGTATGATCTGAATCTTGTGTGTTCACGAAGTTTTCAGATATGATGTTCACTATTGTACAAGTCAAATGATTGTTCACTTTAAAATTTAAGTTATTATTTTTGAAACTATATATTCACAATTTCTGTATGTTCACGAATCCTTTAGAAACGATGTTCACTATGTGAATTGTGTAACTGACTCTGAATGTTCACAATATTGAGTGTTCACTAAATTTTCCTCCTATTCAGGTACTTGTTAAGTTCACATACTCGTATATTGAATAAATGTTAAGATATGTCAGATATTGAATTCTTTACTATAGTCTCAAATCTAAATGTTCAAATTAGTTCAATAATGACAATTGTTAATAATTATTGTATCTATAATGATCCCATTTGTTAAAGAATTAAAAATATTGGATTTGGTCCGATTCAGCTCACATTCCTTAATGTTCAATAATTGTTTTATCAATTTATGCCATCTTAAAAGAACACTTTATATTAAATTACCAACTGCCACTTCAGTACCATTTGATTACTGATTTGATACTAATTACTAGTTGTGATCACATCTATATTGTAAACTTGTAAAATTATCTGTAATAACCCAATCTAGACTCCTTGCACCTTTTCAACAACTTACTAACTTTGGCTATTACTTGAAAATTATAAAATTCCAAAACTAGCTTTCATATTGATGGATTCTAAATCTTGTCATAGTTTTCAAAATTAATCTTCTTGTGGATGCCAGAGGGCTCTCTGAGTTTAAAAGTAAAAGTAATCATAAGTTATTACGACTTTTTCAATAAAGGATGTTTTAAAATTGATCTATACTATATACTATAGATTTGTTTTATTGATCTCATTTACACGGATCTATATATCTAATGGATTATTTTCTCAGAAACACAATGTTCTTGGTTTTAGAGTTCAAAACCTTGCTCAAGGACATCTACTAATACTTAAGTACTATAACAACAAATTTCAGTAAAACCTACAGTACTTGTCAACGAAAATGCATTTATCAATTTTTCAGCTATCAATCTGACCCTTCCAAAGTAAAACTATTCAAATCAGAATGGTAAGTGTGTGTAGCTTGACTCTATTACTGTATTATTGTTATTTAGTGTCAATCGAGTCTAGCAGTTACTTTAAAAAATGTTTTTCCCTCGAACCGTCTCCAGACACGTACCAGTACTACATTAGTTGAACTGGAAAAAGGAATGAATTAATTTTTCAATCAGCTCGTTTTTGTAGACTCGGGAGCCACAAGGAGTCGAAATTAAAAGGTTTTTGTAAATTAAATTAAATGATCTTTGGCTTACCAGATCGACCGGCAATCGGTGTTTTTAGGGCTCGACTAAATAAATCGAACCAGAGATCCAAGTCTCGTAAGTTTCCAACCGGCATGGGCGATGGTATCTGAATGGCTCTTTTTTATGTTTATCGTGTAAGATTTTATCCTGAAGTTATAGGGAAGTTATCGACAGTTTATGTATGTATGTATGTATGTGTGAGGGTGTGAGTATATGGTGGTGTGTGTATGTATGTATGTAGGTATGTAGGTATGTTTCCGACTTTTGTTGTAAATATGAGACCTATCGACAAATAATCGAAACTTTATTGAAATAGCTTCAAAATACTCTATACCATAGACCACAGACCTGCTCAATACATTCTTGTAGTCTAATTAAAATAAGAACCAATTTCCGTTTGTAATTTATTAGATTCGTTTCGAATGTTTCATTAGCTATTAGCTTTGAACGTTACCAATACTCTTTTTAATAAAAAACAAACAGATGTAGGCCTAAGTTTAATTAGACTGAAATTCTAGCACAATACGATTTCATATGCAGAATCACGTGCATCATATTAAAAGTAAACTCCTTTGTCGAAATTGTTATTGTCTCAAGAAAACAATATATGTTATTGCACGAATAAAATCCATATTGAAAAAGCTCTACTGGAGGTAGCATTGATTAGAGCTTTCAGTTCCCAGAATTGAATTGTTATCTTTTCTTTATCAATCCGTTGAATACAAAGGAACCACATTATCAACCAATATAATGACAGTGTACTATATATTTATAAAGAGTTATAATCCATATTCAACTTGTCAATCAATAATCTTCAATTAAAAATGTATCATGTGCTGAAAAGTAACAATGTTTAGAACCGGAATCGTAAAACAAATTGAGTACCGAATGTGATAATCAAGTTTGTAATGGTTGAGTAATGAGTGTATAGAAGCAATTGAGTAATGAGTGTATAGAAACAATTGAGTAATGAGTGTATAGAAACAATTCAGTAATGAGTGTATAGAAACAATTTATTAATGGTTGTATAGAAATAATTGAGTAATGAGTGTATAAAAACAATTTATTAATGGTTGTATAGAAACAATTGAGTAATGGGTGTATAGAAACTATTGAGTAATGTGTGTATAGAAACAATAATTGAGTAATGAGTGTATAGAAACAATTGAGTGTATAGAAACAATAATTGAGTAATGGGTGTATAGAAACAATAATCGAGTAATGAGTATATAGAAACAATAATCGAGTAATGGGTGTATAGAAACAATAATTGAGTAATGAGTGTATATAAACAATAACTGAGTAATGAGTGTATAGAAACAATTGAGTAATGGGACTATAGAAACAATTGAGTAATGAGTGTATAGATACAATTGAGTAATGAGTGTATAGAAACAATAATTGAGTAATGGGTGTATAGAAACAATTGAGTGTATATAAACAATAATTGAGTAATAGGTGTATAGAAACAATTGAGTAACGAGTGTATATAAACAATAATTGAGTAATGGGTGTATAGAAACAATTGAGTAATTGGTGTATAGAAACAGTAATTGAGTAATGGGTGTATAGAAACAATAAATGAGTAATGAGTGTATAGAAACAATAATTGAGTAATGGGTGTATAGAAACAATAATTGAGTAATGAGTGAATAGAAACAATTGAGTAACGAGTGTATATAAACAATAATTGAGCAATGAGTGTATAGAAACTATTGAGTAATATGTGTATAGAAACAATTGAGTAATGAGTGTATAAAAACAATAATTGAGTAATGGGTGTATAGAAACAATTGAGTAACGAGTGTATAGAAACTATTGAGTAATATGTGTATAGAAACAATTGAGTAATGAGTGTATAGAAACAATAATTGAGTAATGAGTGTATAGAAACAATTGAGTAATGGGTGTATAGAAACAATAATTCAGTAATGAGTGTATAGAAACAATTGAGTAACGAGTGTATATAAACAATAATTGAGTAATGGGTGTATAGAAACAATTGAGTAATTGGTGTATAGAAACAGTAATTGAGTAATGGGTGTATAGAAACAATAAATGAGTAATGAGTGTATAGAAACAATAATTGAGTAATGGGTGTATAGAAACAATAATTGAGTAATGAGTGTATAGAAACAATTGAGTAACGAGTGTATACAAACAATAATTGAGTAATGAGTGTACATAAACAATATTGAGTAATGAGTGTATAGAAACAATAATTGAGTAATGGGTGTATAGATACAATAATTGAGTAATGGGTGTATAGAAATGATAATTGAGTAATGGGTGTATAGAAACAATAATTAAGTAATGGGTGTATAGAAATAATAATTGAGTAATGGGTGTATAGAAACAATAATTGAGTAATGAGTGTATAGAAACAATTGAGTAACGAGTGTATATAAACAATAATTGAGTAATGAGTGTATAGAAACAATTGAGTAACGGGTGTATAGAAACAATTGAGTAACGAGTGTATAGAAACAATAATTGAGTAATGAATGTATAGAAACAATTGAGTAACAAGTGTATATAAACAATAATTGAGTAATGGGTATATATAAACAATAATTGAGTGATGAGTGTATGAAACAATAATTGAGTAATGAGTGTATAGAAACAATTGAGTAATGGGTGTATAGAAACAGTAATTGAGTAATGGGTATATATAAACAATAATTGAGTAATGTGTGTATAGAAACCATAATTGAGTAATGGGTGTATAGATACAATAATTGAGTAATGGGTGTATAGAAATGATAATTGAGTAATGGGTGTATAGAAACAATAATTAAGTAATGGGTGTATAGAAATAATAAATGAGTAATGAGTATATAGAAACAATTGAGTAATGAGTGTATGAAACAACTGAGTAATGGGTGTATATAAACAATAATCGAGTAATGAGTATATAGAAACAATAATCGAGTAATGGGTGTATAGAAACAATAGTTGAGTAATGAGTGTATATAAACAATAACTGAGTAATGAGTGTATAGAAACAATTGAGTAATGGGACTATAGAAACAATTGAGTAATGAGTGTATAGATACAATAATTGAGTAATGAGTGTATGAAACAATAATTGAGTAATGGGTGTATATAAACAATAATCGAGTAACGGGTGTATAGAAACAATAATTGAGTAATGAGTGTATATAAACAATAACTGAGTAATGAGTGTATAGAAACACTTGAGTAATGGGACTATAGAAACAATTGAGTAATGAGTGTATAGATACAATAATTGAGTAATGAGTGTATGAAACAATAATTGAGTAATGGGTGTATATAAACAATAATTGAGTAACGAGTGTATGAAACAATAATTGAGTAATGAGTGTATGAAACAATAATTGAGTAATGAGTGTATAGAAACAATTGAGTAATGAGTGTATAGAAACAATTGAGTAATGAGTGTATAGAAACAACTGAGTAATGAATGTATGAAACAACTGAGTAATGGGTGTATGAAACAGTAATTGAGTAATGGGTATATATAAACAATAATTGAGTAATGAGTGTATAGAAACAGTAAATGAGTAATGGGTATATATAAACAATAATTGTGTAATGAGTGTATAGAAACAATTGAGTAATGAGTATATATAAACAATAATTGAGTAATGGGTATATATAAACAATAATTGAGTAATGAGTGTATAGAAACAGTAATTGAGTAATGGGTATATATAAACAATAATTGAGTAATGAGTGTATAGAAACAATAATTGAGTAATGAGTGTATGAAACAATAATTGAGTAATGAGTGTATAGAAACAATTGAGAAATGAGTGTATAGAAACAATTGAGTAATGAGTGTATAGAAACAACTGAGTAATGAATGTATGAAACAACTGAGTAATGGGTGTATGAAACAGTAATTGAGTAATGGGTATATATAAACAATAATTGAGTAATGAGTGTATAGAAACAGTAATTGAGTAATGGGTATATATAAACAATAATTGAGTAATGAGTGTATGAAACAACTGAGTAATGAATGTATGAAACAACTGAGTAATGAGTGTATGAAACAATAATTGAGTAATGAGTGTATGAATCAACTGAGTAATGAATGTATGAAACAACTGAGTAATGGGTGTATGAAACAACTGAATAATGAGTGTATGAAACAATAATTGAGTAATGAATGTATGAAACAACTGAGTAATGAATGTATGAAACAACTGAGTAATGGGTGTATGAAACAAAGCCGGTCAAAGCCGGACCAGCCTCTTTTCGGGGGGAGGCATGAAACGCCACTGATGGGTGTGCAGCAACAATTGTGTTATGGAAGTGAAGAAACAATGTTACAAAAATATGTTGGTTTTACTGTCCTGGATCTGAAATATATAAGACGTGTGCATTTTGCGTCATGACATCAAATTGTACACAATATTAGTCAAAAGAAATTGTTTTTTACTATGTATTTTAGTGGTTTGGAGATATTTTAAGACAAAATATAATTTTTTTTATAAAGTTTGGAGGAATTTTAGGACAAAATTTCTGGACTATTGGCGAACTATTAATATTTTTACTTTATGACAGTTCCTCTTTAATCAAAACAAGATATACACCCACTGGTAGCTTTGATTTTAAATAAAAATATTTGGCAGTACAGTAACAATTACCAGTATGAAATTTTTAACCTTCAGTGTTACATTTCTTTTGAACTTTTTTGGGACGATACTGTATAATATTACCAAGAATTGGGCCTTCTAGAGTCTTTACAGGCTAAAACTTGAACGCAATTTTAAGAACAAGGGCAATAACTCAAACTAAATATTTTCCGAATCTTCTGATTTTTAATAGGGTTTATCCTTCGATGATTAAAAACAGCAAGTTTCGTCAAAATCTGTTAATAATTCATCCTTGTAGAGCGTTTAGGAGCTAAAAATTGAACGCGTTTTCAAAAACAAGGGCAATAACTCATACCAAATATTTTTCGATTCTTCTAATTTTCAAAAGGGTTCATCTTTGGGTGATTCAATCACACCAAGTTTCATCTAAATCCGTCAAGAATTGCACAAGCAATTTGGACGGGCTGAAGGCCCATTTTTCTTGTGGGAAGAAAGAAATTAACAGAAATGAACTCGAACAGATGGAGAAAATTATTGGAAAAATCTAAAATAAACTATTATTTTACAAGTATTCCCAATTAACAGTAATCTTTAAAAAAAATAATACTGCTTTCGACATGCCTTGTTTCCGCATAATGATGTCCATTAACTTCATAATATAAATAAGAAAATTCAGATAAAAAATAATACTAAGTAATTTAAAATGTTTTTGGATCAGATCGAATTACCGGAAGAAATGTTACAAGTCAATCAACTGTTAATCGATTCGGTGTGTTATTCACGCCATATAGCAATGCGTGAAATCAACACTATTCTTTATTAGATTGCAAGGAATTGAAATCGATTCAGAGAGAGTTAAATAACATTTTATTTTCAATTCTTAAAGGACGTGGTTCGCCATTTTCGGGGGTCGATGTTGCTCTTTTATATGTAAATAGTCTTCAGAAGTACTAGTACTGCACAAAATCGCTTATATATATCTAAAATATACCTCAACCTTGTTGTATGTAGTACTCGTTAAAAACATCAAAACACACATATAATAATACCTTAAAAAGGCAGCTGCTCAATTTTCGGGGGGTCGATTCTAGTCTTTAATATAATTATTTATAAAATCACACAATTCCTTTAAAATACATCAAACTAGACATTTTACTCACTATTTCTATATATCTTTTCTATATATCACAGAGTATCTTAAATTAACGAGTCGTCATTTTAACATTCATACGCAGATAATTGTGACTCAAATTTCGATGGTGAGCATTACTGATCAGCTTTCCTAAAGAAATTCCACTTTCTGAGACTAAAAGTATGATTGGTCGAAAAATGGTCTGGGAATTAATTTATTAATTTACTACTATCTTACTTACTATCTTACACGTAACGAACATGCTCCTCTTTCACTCTACATCTAAAGTCTGGCGCACACACGAGCCATCAGCTCAGGCAGAATTCATTCGTGCACTTCTCCTTAAGGCGATAGCTTCCGTGTGCGGGTAATTTTATGTAAGATTTTGGTAATTCATGACGAAAAGTTGAAAATCAAACGTGTTTGATAATTTTTTCCACGAATGAACAAATGCATGTGTGTGCGCGTAACTAAAGCTATCTGCTTAGAGGTAAATCTATCTTCGCATGCATAGTCACATGACAACTTAAAATGGTCGCGCCCATGGAATTGATTTTGATGGATAATAATTCTTCGTCTTCATAAGACGAAATAAGTTTACTATTAACGCTGTTACTACGCCGTTATCGTCGTCGAAAGCTATAATATCGATATAAAGATTAAGAGAGATTTAAATTTCAGGAGATGCGTTCCGAAGTCTTTCGTTCCAATTTCGAATGGGCGAAAGAACGATCTCCGTTATAGTGAAAGAGACCAGCATAGCGATAAACAATGCACTAAAAGAAGAATTCTTAAAGGTAATTCTAACGCGCATCTGAGTCTGCTTAAGGGTATAATAATGAGTCGTTGAAATTTTTAACCTTCAGTCTTACACTTCTTTTGAACTTTTTTGGGGCGATACTGTATAATATTACCAAGAATTGGGCCTTCTAGAGTCTTTACAGGCTAAAACTTGAACGCAATTTTAAGAACAAGGGCAATAACTCAAACTAAATATTTTCCGAATCTTCTGATTTTTAATAGGGTTTATCCTTCGATGATTAAAACAGCAAGTTTCGTCAAAATCTGTTAATAATTCATCCTTGTAGAGCGTTTATGAGCTAAAAACTGAACGCGTTTTAAAAAAACAAGGGCGATAACTCATACCAAATATTTTTCGATTCTTCTAATTTTCAAAAGGGTTCATCTTTGGGTGATTCAATCACACCAAGTTTCATCTAAATCCGTCAAGAATTGCACAAGCAATTTGGACGGGCCGAAGGCCCATTTTTCTTGTGGGAAGAAAGAAATTAACAGAAATGAACTCGAACAGATGGAGAAAATTATTGGAAAATCTAAAATAAACTATTATTTTACAAGTATTCCCAATTAACAGTAATCTTTAAAAATAATACTGCTTTCGACATGCCATAATGATGTCCATTAACTTCATAATTTATAAAGATTAAGAGAGATTTAAATTTCAGGAGAAACGTTCCGAAGTCTTTCGTTCCAATTTCGAATGGGCGAAAGAACGATCTCCGGGATAGGGAAAGAGACCAGCATAGCAATATTCAATGCACTAAAAGAAGAATTCTTAAAGATTATTTCTTACATCGCAGTGGGATTTTCAAACAAGGCCATTCTAACGCGCATCTGAGTTTGCTTAAGGGTATAATAATGAGTCGTTGAATGTTATAAATCTTTTATAAATGAATTATTTTTAGAAAAGTACTTATAATATTGATTTGGTAATTGAAAGGGGCATTTTGGTTGATGGGTAAATTTTGTTGCTCAGATTTCTGAAAACTTTATGACAGAAAGTTTTAACTGAACACATTTTAAACGCCAAAACAATTTAAAGATAGCTTGCCAGGCAAGGTAATATACGCCCACTGGCAGCATTGGGCAAGGGCAATAACAAGGGCAATAATTTATACTTAATATTTTTCGATTCTTCAGATTTTCAATAGGGTTCATCCTTGGGTGATTACGAACATTCACACCAAGTTTCATCAAAATTGAGAATTGTGCCTTCTAGAGTTATTACAAACTAAAAATTGAACACGTTTTCAATAGCAAGGGCAATAACTCATACTAAATATATCTTTGATTTTTCTGATTTTCAATAGGGTTCATCCTTGGGTGATTACGAACAATCACACAAAGTTTCGTCAAAATCCATCAAGAACTGTTCCTTCTAGAGTGTTTACGAGTTAAAAATTGAACGCGTTTTCATGAACAAGGGCAATAACTTATACTGAATATTTTCCGATTCTTCTGATTTTCAATAGGGTTCATCCTTGGTTGAATACGAACACTCATACCAAGTTTTGTCAAAATCTGTCAAGAATTGTGTCTTGTAGAGCAATTGTGGACGGACGGACCGACGGACGGACGGACATGGGTGACGACAATATACGCCCCCCCCCCCCCCCATTTCACGTGGGCGTATAAAAAGGTTTACGTAAACTTACGTGTAAGACAACAAAATATTCTCAGCTATAATTTATGACGTTTTTGGTAATGAAAATTTTGTATAATGCCTCTTTAATTATAGTATTAGCTAAACAAATGAAACTCGAAACCCAAAATAATCGTTAAGCAATACATAGGAGATATCAATTATAAATGGAAGATATTTCATTATGAAAACTGGTATCAGGCACCGATTAGTCTCCATGGTAAACTATCAAACTGTCTACCAAAGGTAGTATTTTCAACAAATCAAAGTCAAATTGAACTGTGGGAAAGCGAAATCTAAGGTAGAGAAGTATAACAGCATCTTATGATCTTATCTTATCAAGAACCTTGTTTTCTTTACACAATTGAGACAGGTCTTTGGTAGATTATAATGTAGACTAAAATATCAGAAAACCAAAATGTTACCAAACTGTAATCTTATTTTAATTTAGATTGGTTTCGAACTACATCAAGTCATATATTTTCTGATTCGGAACTATTCAATGCTGTTGGTTTGGAGCCCTCCAACTTGTTTGTGGAGACAGCATGTTAGTGTATTCAGATTGTGTTTGTTCTGGGCTCTGTTGCATCCAGGAATTCTGAGCATAGTGAGGCATATTGCTCGATAGTCAAGGTGTATGCTGGGGGAATGGAGAATTAAATGATTGGCTGTTCTGCATCTGTGGTTCATATTGACTTAATGTTCCCATTTGAGCATGATACAATACATCATTGATACGATGTTTCGTTAAATTCCTTATTCCTCATTTATTCTTGGCTCTGGTTGACGCAAATTATAAATTCATCTACGTTGATGCCGGAACAGCAGGTCGGGCAGGAGATGCACGTGTCTTCAACGATTCTGTTCTTAAAAAGGCTGTTTCAGAAAACACCCTTAACATACCACCACCAGCTAATATTGATGATACGATTGAGGAAAAAGTAAGCTATCATATGATTGGAGACAAGATGATTTTCCAATGAATCTAAACATGGTGAAACCCTACCAACATCGACACCTTAGCAAGGAGAAGATATATTGAATTATCGGTTATCTCGTGCAAGGCGTGTTGTTGAAAATGCTTTTGGCATTTTTGCCAATAGATTTAGGGTGTTTGTTACAACAATCACTCTGAACCCGGAAAAGGTTACGTATTTGATTTTAGCCGCTTGTTGTCTTCACAATTATATGGTGGAAAAAAAGAAACACACATACACTAGTGTACGAGATATTGAAAATCATAACCAGAAAAGAGTAACAGCGGGATCATGGAGGAATGACCCATTATTAACAGGAATGGTTCCTTGCATGGACAGAAATGCCACAAAAACGCCAAAGACCAACGTGAACGTGTAACCGCATATTTCCAATCAAAGGTTGGATCCGTACCATGGCAGGACAGCATGATAGAACTGTAAACTATTAACTATTAATGGAACTTACAGTACATGTATTTAAGCTTGAAACAGACGTCCTTACTGCTATGTGAGGGGCTAGGAACTGAAACCTTTCAAGCAACCAATTTGTCCGTTTACTCGCATTCTTCCTAGCACTACCGCTGCTTCGTGTTAACACTTAAAAAAACTATAATTTTCAAGCAAAAACCGAGGGTTGGTGGCCTAATTCATATACTTGTTTGCTCAATAGATTTCTTCATTAAATTAACTCATTTAAAAACAGAATGAGTTTAATTTTAAAACACAAACAAAAGAAATTCGAAGGAGACGGTTTCTTCTTGGCTTTTGTGTAGCTATTTCTCAAAGCCTTTAGTTTTGCTCTCACTATCTTTTGCTGTCTCAATAATATTTCAATCAATTATTTTCAAAAATAATAGCACTATCTTTTGCTGTCTCAATATCATTTAAATCATTATTTTTAATAATAATAGCTCTATTTTGTGCTGTCTTAATAATATTTAGATCAATTATTTTCAATAATGATAGCACTATCTTTTGCTATCTCAATAATGTTTCAATCTATCATTTTAAATAATAATAGCACTATCTTTTGCTATCTCAATATCATTTAAATCATTATTTTCAATAATAATAGCTCCATTTTTTGCTATCTCAATAATATTTAGATCAATTATTTTCAATAATGATAGTAGTACATGAGTATATGGATTGGGCGCACCCCTTGTTTTTAATTGAAAACTACAGTTTTTTAAGCATCAAC